CAAGGAAGCTCAGGAAATCCTACTCTGATTACATCCACAGCAGGTGGTTTAGGCACGGTGAGCACAAACGTGCAAGGATCCGTGGACCCGAAGGACACTTCGGTGCGTTTCCACGGATTTGACAGCGACGAATCAAATGACTCATGGTTACGGTACACTCCTGTAACTGAGTCAGAAATCAAAAAAGTATGTTGCATTCAGAAGGGCATTCCAAGCCCGCAAGGAACAACAAATCAAGCAGCAACAGCTAAAAGAGCAAGAAATCCAGTCAGTGGCTAAGTATTGGGCAAATGCTATCAGCAATGCCAATACCGTAGCCACTATTCAGAAAGTTCAAGACTGGATGACCGAGATGGCTGAAACAATTCTTAAAGCTCAAGCTTCAGGTGCAGCTGCAGGTACCTCCAAAGTCACTCCAACTCCCAATCCAATTCCCACTCCAACAGTCCACGAATCACAAGACGAAGGAACCGCAATCGAGGTCAGTTCTGCTCCCACCTTCGGTCTTGATGATGACGATATTCAGGAGGTCAACAAGCCCAACCCTTCTGATGATGACCTCGTGATATTTGATGAGGAAGAGGAATCCAGTGGCTCCCACCATTCAACTTACCAAAAGACAAGAAGAAAAAGAAGAAGAATGTTGTCACCAGAAAAGAGTTCATGAGTTTACAAGCTAAAGTTGATCAGATCTTAGCTGCGGTCAAGCCAACTCAACCGCAACCAGAAGACACCCCGGGACCGCAGTCCCTGATCGAACGTATAGAGCGTCTGGAGACAAGGGAACGCTTGGCTGCTGAGAGGATTTCTCTCAAAGTAGAAATGGGGATCCGGTCCCTTGACAACAACCGCAAGGCATATCATAAGGACTTTATGGCTGCTGCGGAACGCCTCATCACTGAGGTGACCGCAATCAAAATGGATCTCCAAACAGCCATCGCGGATCAAGCCACACAGTCTCAGAAGCTGATAGATGAGACTCACACTGCTTATGAGTCCACTATCTCCGTTCTTCAAGCGACAATCAACAGACTGCAACGATCCCTGTCCTCCAACTTCCATGGTCCTGAGATCCTCCAGCTTACCAAGGAAATCCACAGGCTACTCTTCAGCTCCTCCATTCCAAACAATCAACAGTTGGCTGAAGCCCTCAAAGCTCAATTCCAAGAGGTTTTTTGCCAAGGTTGATAGCCTTAAACAATGGCTTGAGGAAGCTCCTCCGTTGCATCCCTCAAGAGGGGGAAGTGAAGAAGAAGAAGTCCATCACTCTGATCCATCCATCTCACAACATCAAAGTCCCCCCATCATCACAGAAAAAATTCCCACACCTACACCATCTCATCACACTCCACCACATAACCCTTCACCGCAAAAGGAAGTCACTCCTGAAAAGCCAGAGACTCCCCCTCACTTCAAAAACCTCGCGGAGAACATGTCATCTCCAAGCTCAACGGACTCCCCTGCAACCGCTCAAAGAAAACAAGACTGGAAGGCAGCCAAACTTGCAGAGCTAATATGGAGAGAATGCGGTTTTGACACAATGATGGACGAATCCTTGATAAATTCATGGATCAATCCGCACCGCCGACTGCTGGACGGAGATTACAGACTCCACCTCACTTATGCTGAACCCCCCTCGGACGGATACTGGGATGTCCCAATTTCTCCAAATGCCAAATTCTTCACAGTTTTTGAGCAATTTGACCGCAGCCTTCCTGATCACAAAAGACTGCCAATGGAATTTGAGAGACTTAGTCTCTTCCATGCTAAAAATGCCTCTTCCATTGAAAACATATGGTCTAACGATAGACCATCCGCAGTCAAGAACTACAAAATCTGGAAGTTCATGAAGGCTGACTACATCCAGTATACCCTCACAAAGAAGAGAGCATGATTATGTCCGCACCCAGGCAGACTTTCCTTGCATGAATCCGGAAGAAATCTTCCTCATTGCCAAAGTGTTCCAAAATAAGTCCGAGAAGCACCCTAAAATGAAGATTGCGCTTGAAAGGGCTAACACTTTTCTAAAGGAAACCGTCTGTGACTTTGCCAAGATTGATGCGGATATCTACCCCACCATAGCCAAGAAATTTGATCTGCCACCACTCGAACCTGCACCTATGCCTACCGAAGGCTTTCAAGAAAGATCCTTAGGCGCAACCAACTTTCCTGAACTTGGAGTCATTTTCAAAAGGAAGACTGATAATGTCAAATACTTCATTCCTATGACTGCCATGCATCGCCTGACCAAGAAGCAACTTGACATTAGCCGAGTCGGAGTTGAAAGATCAAAGCATACCACCGTAGAAGTCAAATTCGAAATCCTAAGGAGAATCACTTGGCTGGAAAACATCAGGAAATTTTGGTGGATCCTGATCAAGTTCCTCAAACTTGATAGCTGAACCGAAGTTACAGAGGTCACTTAGGGGGAAATTGTTGAATCATAAAAGTGACCCTCTTGAACTTAGCTACCACAGCCACTTCAGCTACCGCAACAGTTCAGCACCCGCAGTCAAATCTTGTTCATCAGCAACCGCAACCGGAGTCTTTCTACCGCAGTCTTCAGCTAGATTACTTTAATTGTCTTCTTATGTAATACTCTCTATTGTCCAGTATGCCTTGCATGGCTACTCTTAGAGATGTAATCTAGTGTATTTCTGAGTCTCTATAAATAGAGCTCATTCTCTTGTATTCAATACCGATAACTTATGCATTCTATCTGAATACACATTTCTGAAGTTATCTTTTCTATCTCTCTATTACTCATCTCTTTCTACTTCAATCTTACCAGAATTCATCTTAATATAATCTCTCTTCGGAGCAAGTCTTCTGTGACTTAATCACTAAGTTTGATCTTCCTTATTAACTTGGTTTGAATGCATTCCTCGTTATGAATCAACTTATGTGTATACTTGATATAACAATTGTTGTCATTTCTATTTCTTTACTTTTCCGCAACTAACTCTCTAACTATCTAACTATAAATTATTTATATTATTATTGAGCTTTTAGATCCTTCGAGATTAACTATTCTGCAATCCACTTGTTCTAACGTTTGTTCAAGTGTGTCTCCAAGTTTTTCTCTCAACAGGGAGGGCATGCCATACTCATACTGAGGGATCATGAGCTTTCCGGATACAAGCTGAGGGTCGGGTAGGGCATGCCAGACTCATACCAAGGGCTCGGTAGCATTCCAGATACGAGATGAGGATCGGTTGGTACGCCAGACTAGTACTGAGGGCTGAACATTTGTATTCTAATCTGATGACTAATTGGACTAGGGAGGAAGCCAGACATAAGTTGTGGGCCCCGAGGGCAAGCCAGACTTATGTTGTGGGCTCAGGAGCAAGCCAGATATGAGTTGTGGGCCCGATAGGCAAGTCAGACTCATACTGTGGCTCAAAGGGTAATCCAATCTTTTTGCTGCAGACCTAATACAGAGTGTTATTTGAATGTGTTATTTGTTCGTGTGTTGGTATTTTGGGGGAACTCACTAAGTTCGTGCTTACAGTTTCAGTTTATTGTTTCAGGTGCTTCAAATGTTTGTGACGAGGCGAAGACATGACCGTACACATCCTTGGTTTTACTATCGATTGGATCTTGGGAGACTCTGATTTTAAATAATGTTTTGGAAACAATGATTTTGTAAACACCTTTATTAGTAAATGAGTTGTTTTAAAAGTTTAAATTTTCTTGAAATTTTTGGGATGTTATTCAATCCCATTATGTTTCCAAAAAATACCCCCACACCAACCAACAAAACCGACGAGGACGAGAATGAGAAAGAGAACGGTGAAGATTATGATTGAACTTTTATGTTATTTTGAACAATGTTTCTTGAAGGTTTTTTTTTCTTTTTTCTTTTTTTGTTATTTTTCTATATATATATTTTGACTTTGAAATTTAATGGTTTATTATGCTTATTATTTTGCATATCTTGAATTTGAAATTTAATGGTTTGAGATAACATATTTTGTAAATATAACAAAAACTGTGAAAAATATTTAAAAAAAAAAAAAAAAAAAAAAAAAAACTATAGACAAGTTGTATGTACAGATAAAATAGAAGTTAACGGTTACCATCTTTTCCCGACGATGTGTCATCTAAATAGCATTATTTTTTCCGACAACTTGTTGTCGGTACAGATTACATTCATACCAACGACTTGGTGTATGACTTGGTATTTAATAAAACATTTTTTTCCTCGGAAATCAATTCTGACGACCTTTTTCAGACGACTTGTCTTCGGCAATGATTGATCTATACCAACGAAATCTATCCTGGTGTCATTTTCGACTTTTACCAATGGGCCTATACGGCGACTTTGTACTGACGAAAAGTCGTCGTATAGGTTTTATCGACGACTTGTCTTCGGAACAGTGGTAGAAAATGTCGTTCGCATAGATGTCGATTCTTGTAGTGAAAAAGTGGAATGCGGATACAATAAATATGTCCTTGATCATATCGATGCTAAAGATATATATGATGGTCGTTTAAATGAAGCTAAAAACAAATAGGAACATAGGGAGGTCCAGGTTTATACTTTTGTTTAATTACTTTTTTCCCGATTTGAAAATATATTGATATTTTAAAATTGTACACAAAAATAATATTATTTGACATGTGATTCAATTAGCAAAGTGTTTTTTTAATATAACCAGTAGAGTTCTATTTATTGAAATAAAACTTAAAATGAAGCGAACGACACACAAATGGAGCAATTATGCAAGCACATAGAGCGAATTCTTTACCTTTCGTAAAACATGAAAACGGAGATTACTAAAAAAAAAAAGTACTTCAAGTGAATTAAAATCGAAACGCAAAAATAACAATCAAACATATACTAGCGTTTGCGGTTACACGATTCTAAACTTGGAATGATAATCCTTATTATTTGGTTACGAGAACATCAAAAATCCTCGGTAACCAGACACCCAACAGACTTACGTACCCATGCATACTAATGCATGACAGTTGAAAATGCATTACTTCAATAAACTTTAAGCAATGGGAACCAGCTGAATCTTAATCTCGCCAATAGTTACTTCATCACACCCTGTTCTCGGCACCAATGTCACTACAACAGACTCATCACCTTCAGCTTCAATGTCCTCCAAGAGCTCCGTGATCCCAAACGCCGCCCCACTCTTCATAAACATCTTGTCACCATGGTTATGAGGCAACTGTGCGAAACTACCAGCGAACTCACTATCAGCAGCGGTGGTCTGAACTCCATCGTCGACGTCGTTGACAAACACGTCAATCTTGAGAAACCGCTCAGCATCAAACGTGATTCCATTCAAGAACAACAGCTCATTTGCCTTCTCCTTTTCCTCCTTGGTCCTGTTTGTAGCTGGCCTCTTCACTAGAACCTTCACAATCTTGTTTAACTTCAACGGGAATACGATATCCTCCACCTTCTGCACGATTCCGGCAGACTTAGCAGCAACGTTAGCCCCCTTGGCATGTGCAGTCGGCCGACTACGGATCCATGGGATTGCTGACCTTTCGTAGTCATATCCCATCCGATTAATGTCTACACAGTCTCGGTTGTAGACACGTACAAGATTTTCATTCTCATCGTAAAACACGTATGATGCATTTAGCCAGTCGCCAGAGGTCGGATCCTTGTGTGCCTTCTTGTCAATATCTTTCCAGATTTGCCACATCCGGTCGACATTGGCATGGTGGACGTAAAAGAGAGGATCATATCCTGCGGAGTAGAAGTTCCCCATGTCTTCGCTGTTGGCCATCCTTGAATTACCCACCCAGCGGTGAGCCGCGGTGTGAACCCCAGCTTCTATTGTCCCAGCTACATTGAACTCGCTCGCAAGAGGGTCATTTCCAGCTACAAATTCGCCACCGAAGAATCGTTTTGTATCAGTGGAGTTGGTGACCATCTGTCTGTACATTGAAGACAGATTAATCGCTATCTGGTCTATACAAGTGGCACCAGTGTCTGCACCAGCATATTCAACATCAAAGATAGAAGGTGGGAGGTGTCTAGCATCCCTTAAAGGGTCAAACAGAGAGTTAGTTTTGCTGTTCTGTTCGAACATGGCAGGAATAACCATTCCAGTAGGGTTATCCCAGTTCCAGTATGGTAGAGCGAAAGTTGGATCATTAATCAACTTCCCCAATATCTTCTCGTAGAAATAGAGGTACCACCGGTGGAAAGGAAAGAAGAGCCACGAGTTGTGAATCTGAAGTTGTAAATTCGGGTAACCACTTTGTTCTTGATTGTAACCACCGTTGCAATAAGCACAGTGAATCTTGCCTTGTTGCTTCCAGCTATGTGGGTGGTCCTCCGGGAGATCCTTCATGGCTTGAATTGCTTGTTGATACTTGGCAATGTAATCGGCAGTGGCTTTCTGTGCAGCTGGTCGAACACGAATCACAGGGTTTAAAGGAAGGACGTAATCTGTTGGTTTGTTTGTTGAAAGCACCGGAGGGCAACAAGCTAATCCCCTTATAGCGTCTTTGCTGTTCCTTAGGTTTGACGTCGCAGCAACACAGTCTGAAATATTGTCAGGAGCAGCGATGGGAATGCCAAAGGCTGATGGAATGGTGGTCAAGTTGGCAGCGCCGTAGAGACCTCCGAGTCCGAGGAGCAAGTTCCTCCTGTCTACGTTCTGCATTTCATGTGATGTTTTGGGTAGTATGAGCTTTGGGGTATCAGAATTATTGACGGTTTTGTCATTCTTATTAGCGGGTGCATTGCATGAAACTTTGAAGCGATGGAATGGCTTCACATGCGAGGATGTTTTGGAAAAGAAGGGTTTTTTGGTAGTGGTGGAGGTGGGAAGACTAGACAAGGCAAGAGAAGCCATCATCTATGGGTGGTGCTATAAGTCCTCTACTGAGGTCCCATTATATAGAAAATTTTTTGTGGAAAATGGGTATCGAGCATGTGTTTAACCTTGTTTCAGCAAGGTAAATATTAATATTTAATTACACACAGTTTTAAATATGGACACATGGTGGTACAGAATTGGTTGAGCATTATTAGCTACGTACATGAAATTGGAAAAGATGATTCTTTTCAAATTTAATTTAGAACCCCTATATACACTATATACAAGCACCCACTGTATTACTCATATTCTACATGTTTAGTCTAAAATGAGACTTGAACGGCACCTATCCGTACAAATTAAAATTTTGCTATGGATGTTTAGTTACAAATGTTAACAAAAGAAAATTAAAAAACAAAAGAATGATCATTTGGATTTAACATTACAAACAAATTCAACTATTAAACTGCACTTCATCAATTATGCTTTAACTTGCTTTAATTGTTAACATATATATATTTTGATTTATATCACCATTGGTAATGAGATTCAACTATACTTCTTATAGAGGGTTCAAACCTCTTTCTAATGGTGTTTATCTTTTTTTTACCTCTAATTTGAAAGGATTACTTTTTATCGGCCAAATCATTTTGGTTTTAATGGTATTTATCTAAATTGAAATATGTGGTGTTGCTCTCCTATACATGCTTGTAATGTATCTTTATATTGTTCTCTAGTTCCTTTGTTAGTTGTTCTATAATATCGATTGCTAAAAAAAAAAATATAATGTCTTGCATCACAACCGGATTTAGAATACTTCAAGAATAATTGAATTAACGTGTATAATACAATCCTCAAAAAGTCATAAACATGGGCTTTGCCACGCATCCCAATGATACTTTGTCTAGTTTTGATTGTTGAACCTACTCGCCGGTTGGTAAGAGTCATAAAGTTGAATTTAATTTTCTTAATTTTAGAGATAGGCAAAGATGGCGTTATAGAAGATTTTAAATGTCCTTGCAAGTTGTAAGAAAGGACCCATGGAAGTCAAGAAGAAAGATAAATAGATATGGGTGGGGCAATGGTGATGCGGGCCCCAATTTTATTTGAAGTCACTATGGTGTACGTGCCTATATCTAATGGTCTAACGTTAATGTCATAGGGCTATTGACGGAGATGTAGTTTTTTTGGTGATACACAATATATATATATATATATATATATATATATATATATATATATATATATATATATATATATATATATATATATATTGTAGAAATTTATTTGGTTTATTATTCTTTTTATAGTATATAGGGGCTCCTTCGGCCCTTCATACACTACAAAAGATACAGTTATTATCGGCGACACCAATAGCGGTGTCATATAAATTTGTCGCCGTTAAAGTTACTTATCGCCGCAATTGGTGTCGTCGCTAAAGGGCCATAACATGTATCCGTGTTTTCACTTTCTGGTAACTAGAGTCATTCGATCCTGTTTCTAATCCAATGGTTGGGGTACTCCTAGAACGCACAACACCAATCCCAGCGACACAAGACGCCGCTAATGACCTAACCCTATCGCCGCTAAATGTCGAATAAATGACGCGACAATAATTCCCTCTGAAGTTGTCGACGCTATTGATAATAATCGTCGCTAAAGCCCTTACGTCGCCGAGAAAGGTCGACGCAGTTAACCAAACAAAATTGATCACTTTTCCTTTTCTCTTCTGTTTCGCTCTATATCTCCTTCTGCGTTTTTTTCTTTCCCTCTTATTCGCCGATTCCCAACGATTCAAGCCACCATCACGTCGATTGATTTAATTACCGGCCACAGTGAATAGATACCGACGGGCAAAATATATACCACCGGCGACTGAGGACGGGATAGTTTCGGCGACTGAAGATAAATCTCTGGCCAGGGCAGGTATTTCTAGCTTATTTCCATTTCCATTTTCTCTTGTAAGATCTATTTTTAACTTATTTTAGTGATTAATTGCAAAAAATGTCAATTTCAGTTTTTGATTTAGTTTCCCGGTGATCACCACCGACAACTTCCACCACCACTGCATCATTTCTTTTATTTCCGCCACCATAGGTTCTATTTACTGTGAAATTCATGTTTAATTGCAAAATATGTGTAGTTATATAAATTATGTGAAATTTGGCATATGTGTGCATATTTGATATATGTATGTGAATATATGTAAGTTTGGTGTATATATGTCAATGTGTGTGTGTGTTTGGTGTATATGTGGTATATGAATGTGAAATTTATGCATTTGTTTTAAGTAGGATGTTATTATCTATATATGTGAAAATATGTGTATTTGGTATAAGTATGATGTTATTATGTGTGTATGTGAATGTATGTGTGTTTGGTGTATATGTGGTATATGCATGTGAAAGTTTGTGAATTTGGTATAAGTAGGATGTTATTATCTATATATGTGAAAGTATGTGTATTTGGTATAAGTAGGATAGTATTATGTATGTATGTGTATTTGGTATATATGTGGTATATGTATGTGAAAGTATGTGTATTTGATGCTCTTATGTATTATGTGAAAGTATGTGGTTTTGATATAAGTAGGATGCTATTATGTATGTAGGTGAATGTATATGTATTTGGTGTATATGTGGTATATATATTTTTAAAATACATTATATAATTAAAAAAAACAACAACATAATATAATTGTTTAAAATGCAATGCTATAATTAAAAAAAAAACAAAAATAAAATGTTATAAAATTGGGTGTAAGATGACAAACAAATAGTTATTTTCTAGGATGCAAGAAGCAAATAGTTGTTTTTTCTTAAAAACGTTTTTTTCTTCAATATTTACCAATTTGATTTTGATTTTAGGTCATTTGTTTTTAATATAATAATAAAATATTCTATGAAGCAAACTAATAAGCTATGTTAACAAAAAGTTTATTTAACGAGTAGATATAAAATAAATGAATTATTTATAACTTTATTAAATATATTTTTTTATTATCAAAGTATAAATTTATCTGAGCATGGTCTATTTTTTTCCTTTACTTATTAAATTGTATTATACTTATGTAAGAAAAACTGTTTGAAAATCCTAAAAACATAAAAAGAACGGACAATATATTCATTGGGCTAAATTGATTAAACGAATTTTAACTAACTTCAATGATTTTTAAAATGATTTTTAATAATGAAATGATTAACGACAACCATGTGCAAGAAATAGGAATGTACTTTGGTTTTTTGTCCCTAGTTTAAAAATAGCAATGTACTTTGCCATCATTAAATGCATGTTGATTTGGTAATTTTGTTTTGTGGTGATTATTTGTTAAAAGCTTTGCTAATTGGATTTTTGTCCCAAGTGCAATGAATAGCAATGTACTTTGGTTTTTTGTCTAAGTTTAAAAGTAACAATGTACTTTGGCATCGATAAATGCATGTTGATTTGAAAATTATGTTTTTGTTCCAAGTGCAAGAAATAACATTGTAGTTTTGGTATTTCTTGTATTTAAGTGTAAGAAATAGCAATGTACTTTCGTAGTTTTTGTTTATGTTTAATTATTTAACTTATAAGTTTATATAAGTTATTAATTATTATGTAGTTGGAAAATCTTCGAGCAATGCTAAACGACCCGACATGTACGGATGAGCTTTATGCGTTTTTTCAACCGGGGAAAGATCAAGGAGGAAACGATGGGAACATAGATGATGGTTTGTCGGATAATCAATTTGTGTTTTGTATGTTACACTTGTCGTGACACTTTGCTACTTGTCAAAATTGTAAAACTTTTGTAGTTTATTTTGGTATGAAATTAATTATAACAGTATTTGGTATCTAATCGGATGCTATTATGTATTTTTTTATGCATTTAATATCGTTATGTATCGGATTCTTTTTATACCCAAAATCGTTGATTAAAAAAAGTAAAAAATGAAAAATGTTATTATCGGCACCACTATTACTGACGACATGAAGTATTACCGGCGACATGAGCATTAGCGGCGATACGAAGTATTACCGGCCACATGAGCATTAGCGGCGACAATTGTCTTTACCGGCGGCATTTTGATCAATAGCGACAGAACAGTAGCGACGACTTTTTATCGGCGACGTGTCGCCGTTATTATCTTCACCAGTGACTTTCTTACTCTTTACCGGTGACTTTGTCGCCGCTAATTACCTTTTTTCTTGTAGCGATAATATGTGTATCTATATATATTGATTTATACATGTAACCTTAATTATGAGTTTCCATATTCCTTAGTATGATATCACATCCAGGTCGTGTATGCCTCCTAGCAAACAGGTAGATTTTTTTTTCTACTTCTGGGTTTTATTTTTATCTTGGTAATAATTTCGTCTCCTGGACCTCCAAGCGCCAACATGTAGTTTCTCGCTCTAATGTCGAAGCCGAGTATCTGGGGTAGTGAATGTTGTTGTTGAAACTGCCTGGCTAAGAAACCTTCTTCTTGAGTTATATTGCCCTCTTTCATGTGTCATTGTTGTCTTTTGTGACAACGTTAATGCCAGGTATTTATCATCCACCCGAGTACATCACCAAAGAAGCAAATATACAGAAATAGATTAACACTTTATTAAGGAACGTGTTGTGATTGGTCATGTGCATGTTTTATATGTTCCTCTCTCTTATTAGTATCCATACATCTTTACAAAGGTCCTTCCTACACAACTTTGTCATAGATTTCAGAACTAGTTTGAACATTCGAGATCCTCATGTTCCAACTACAGGGGTGTGTTAGAGCATTATTTTTTTTTAATTACTATTTGCATAATATATGGGCTCATTTGTTATATATATATATATATATATATATATATATATATATATATATATATATATATATATTGATTTATACTTGTAATCCTAATTATGGGCTTCCAAATTAATTAGGATTCAAGAATTTGACAAATTATTGGGAGATTTTTGGTTGAGGTGAACAAAAGTCGAATCAAACTCAAATTAACCGAGATAACTGAATTGTTTTAACGAAATCATTACTAAAAGAGATGATGCGGTT